AGTCAACATACCTAAAAGTACCATAGTGTAACTGTCTGACCTTGACATACCTCTGACCTATTCTGGAGGTTTCCATTTGTCTTGGTTGCGAGTTTGCTTTTTTTGTTTCTTTGCTTTTGTTTTTATAAATTTTTATTTAAATTAAAACAATCTTATTTTACATACCAATCCCAATTCCATCTCCCTCCCATCCTCCCACGCCCCCCACCAACCGCCCATCCCATCCCCATCCCCTCCCCAGAGAGGGTGAGGCCTTCCATGGGAGACCGTCAAAGTCTGTCACATCATTTGGGGCAGGCCTAGGCCCTCCTCTGTGTATCTGGACTGAGAGGGTAACCCTCCATGGGGAATGAGTTCCCAGAGTCCATTCATGCACTAGGGTAAATACTAGTTCTGCTGCCAGAGGCCTCACAGCCTGCCCAGGCCTCACAAGTGATGCCCTTATACATTTACTCTGAGTGTTTCAGGCCACGGGCATTAGGTGAAATAAGATGTTTTCTCATGATAACCCACAATGCTACTTTTTGAAGGAACAGCAACAAGAGTGTCCCTGAGGACGAGATGACTCATCAAATGAGTGAGTGACATGGTGACTGTGACTGACTCAGTGGAGGGCCCATAGGAGAGTCATGATTGGCTCCCATTCAAATTCTTCTCATTCCCAAGACCGTTACCTGCGCACAGAGCCCTCACTCTGTCAGGCAGGAAGCTGCCAACAGATGAAGCTATGTCCTGATCATTCAGTTCCTTACTCAGAAAGTCAATGGCTGCCATTAGTCAACTAAAGGCACACCCTGCACTTCCTCCCTCACCCACGGCACCCCTACCCATGCACCCCACTCCCCTCACCAAACACCCCTGCTATAAGCTTATTATCAGGGCCCTCGGTCAACTGGGCCCAATGTGATGCTGTCCTTACATTTCTTCGCTGTGCTTCCATCTTAGTGTTGGAAACACGTTCTACCTGGACCCGACACCCACCCCCACAACCACCAGGACAGCACGCCACTTCCCATCCTTGTCCACATCTACCTAGTTAAGTGACTTCAAAGCCCCCAGGACTGAGTGCCAGTGACAAAGGTATCAGGAATGTGGGAACGCTCACTGCGTGTCAGACTCTATACTACGTGCCCTACACAGACGGACCCAAGTCCTTGCCACACACCGAGGTAGGAGCTTATACCACTTGTGTTTTACAGATGAGGACACTGAAGCCCAGGTGCAGGTTACCTGAGGAAAACAACTCAATGTGGACAACTGAGCTTCCCGTACGAGCTCCCCAAACAGAACCTCGATGCGTGTCTAAGGACCCCACACAGAGCCTGGCAATAACATGGCTATTCTACACCAAGTGTTTTACCCATGTTACTTTACCCTCGGGGACAGGACACCCCCATGAAGCAGGTAAGTCTCTTTCAAACCTTTTTAAAGATCAGGAAACAGAGGCTGTGAGAAATTAACGGACTTCACTATCTAAAATTTTACAGCTTGGAAAAGAGCAAAATAGAGACCAAAATCCAGTCCAATGGCTCTCAAAGACCCAGGATTACAATCTCCAACCCATTTGACCTGCCTCAGTGTTTCTTATTGGTCCCCAGGCACTTGATCCAACTCCAAGACACCCCTCCGTGGGAGAACCAGAAAATCTGAGACACTCCTCCATGGGAGAACCAGCCTATCTGAGACACCCCTCCATGGGGGAACCAGGCTATCTGAGACACCCCTCCATGGGGGAACCAGGCTATCTGAGACACCCCTCCATGGGGGAACCAGCCCATCTGAGACACCCCTCCATGGGGGAAGCAGGCTATCTGAGACACTAGCTCCAGGATGATGAACAGCATTACTGAGGGGTGTACCGGCAACTAGTAAACAAAGGACACTAGTCTCTCTCAATAGAGGTGACAGCCACTCACTTTCCAAAGGGAGTGAGTACAGTGTTCCAACACCAAAGCTGAGATGGTAAATAAATGACAAGCCACCTCATGACATGTGTGTGCGTGTGGCATATATCCATCCATGAGTAAGTGGAGACCGGGGAGTAAGTGGACACCAGTTTCGTCATGAATTGTTCTCCACATTATATACTAAGGCATGGTCTCTCAGTGAACCCAAAAGTTACCAACTTGACTAGTCTAACTAGGAAACTTGCCCAGAGGTCTCCTGTCTCCATCTCCTAAGTGCTAAGATTACAGTCAGGCCAGGCAACCACACCACCTGGCCTTTATATGGAGTCTGTGTATCCAAATTCTGAGCCTCATGCTCACACGTCAAACACTTTATCCACCAAGCCATCTCTTCAGATCAACAAGACATTTTTTTTTTTTTTTTTTGGTTTTTTTATCCAGGGTTTCTCTGTGAGCTTTGGAGCCTATCCTGGCGCTCGCTCTGGAGACCAGGATGGCCTCAAACTCACAGAAATTCACCTGCCTCTGCCTCCCAAGTGCTGGGATTAAAGGCGTGTGCCACCCATCTTCAACAAGACATTTTTAAATAAGACCCATCCCATGATGTCATTCAGTACCAAACTACAGTGATGAGCAAAACGGTCATTCCGTTTCTACCACCCAGATGGTTTCTCCTAGGACCACGGATTGGGCCGTGAGGCCTGGGCATGAGCTACAAACACTTGCAGAAGGGCCTTCCAGATCCACACCTCGGGCCGGCTTCGGCCCACAGAAGCCGTACCGGGAGATACAGCATCTTATTGCTCCTCCTCGGCATGCCTCCTGCACCAGGCCAACAGGAGGAAATTCACCTCTCCCACGTTCCTAGCGTTTCAGGCTAAGTCTTTGGTTTGACCCCAGAAACTCTGGGCTTCACAGAGATACTTCCGGAATAACTGTACCAACAAATTAATACCTTCGGGAGGTGTTTACTTACAGTTCAGGTAAGCAAAGCTACCAAGCTGGATCAGATTTCCCGGAGGCCAGTTCCAAAGTGTTGACAGAGGAAAGAGGAAGAAAAACAGGTGAACTCACTTGCACAAGGGCTCTGATGACCGGGACTGGCAGCTCACACCTGACTGGTGTGATTAGCTGTCTGCAGTACAGTGGTAATGAAAACTCCTAAGCATTTACGAACTAAGCGGCAGCTAGGAAGATTAAAATCTGGACAACTTAGAGAGAAATTTCAATATTCTCCTGCGTGCTAGAAGCGTTTGCCACAGACATCATGATGACGATGACGGTGAAGATAAAGAACCCTTGATCAGACCCCACAGACATTACTGCCATTTCCACACTGAAGACCAAGAAAACACTGTATTTGTTAGAGCCTAAAATAGATGCTGAGATGCCAGGCCCCCACAAACCACACAACCCCAAGATTAATGAAACCACTCGAAGGAAGACGTGTGGAGGATACTCTGTATTTGCTGAACAAAATCCATGGAAGTTCTAGACAAACCAAAAGGAAGTAAATGATGGGGCAGTTTCCACCATTTGATGTTATCTCCAAATGGCAACTCAACTAAAAAACAATGAGAATGGCCAGAGAAAAGTCTCAGCAATTAAGAACACTCGTTGCTCTTGCAGAGGATGTGAGTCTTTAGGCAGTTATCAGGCAGTAGGTACCATTCACAGAGAGAGAATCTGTGTGTGTGTGTGTGTGTGTGTGTGTGTGTGTGTGTGTGTGTACATACAGGGAAAACACATAAAATAAAATAAATAAATGAAAGTAAAAGAACAGGAAAGCCAGGGAGCACGGTAGATGGGTGTGTGGTGCTCCTGACACCCACCTGCCCTCCTGGTGGCTGCTGCTTCCTAGTGACATCTTCATAACTGTTACAGTCAGGGAAAACCAGGATGAATATGGCGTCCCCAACACAAAAGGTGCTGAGCACATCACACCAGTTCTTATCATTCAACTTCAGTAGGAGCAAGATAAAACACACTTAAGAGTCCCAACAGGCCACATGGAAACTAAAGTTTTCTCCAAAATCACTTTTTCTAAGTTTAAAATAAATGTGTTACACTAAGACACACAACTGTAATATGCCCTGTATTTAGTATGGGTTTGGCTTTTATTTATTTCCCTTTACCTTCACAAAACTAGATCAAATATAATTAAACAGTTGGTGTAAAAATACCCCTTCCTTTCTCAGAGACTCTTTTCTCCCAGATTTAATACTGAAAACCCTGTTGCCCTGACAGGGGGTGTCCTTCTGTATATATATATATATATATATATGTTTCTCTTATTAGTTAATAAATAAAACACTGATTGGCCAGTAGAGGCAGGAAGATAGGTGGGGTTAGGAGACAAAGAGAATGCTGGGGACAGAGGCAGAGAGGCACCGCAAGGAGACCCCGGGAAGATAGGATGAGCCAGGCGTTCTCCAGTAAGATAAGGCCATGTAGAAATTAATAGATTAGTAGTTATGGGTTAATAATTAAGAGATAGCTAGCCAGTAAGAAGTCCTAGTCATTGGACAACAGTTTTATAATAAATACAGCATCCATGTGTTTATTTGGGGCTGAAGGGCAGTGGCACCTGGGAGGGCCTATGGGCCATAACAACCAGTTGACCAATCAACACAGGGCAGGTCGTCCAACATAGCCCTGTTGCAATGAAGACTTCAGTGAAGAACACCAAAAAACTTTCCATAAATACAGCCATGAGCTTTAGCCTTGGAAGCACTGAGAATCAATTCTTCGTTTATGTTTTTTAAGCAAAACTCTCTATGAGTGCAATAGCTTGCCTGGTATTACAAGCAGCCAGCACCTCATCAAGAGGAAACTTTTCATGTTCTACTGGGAACATTTGTAGAATAAATAATAAAAAGAATAATAAATTTTTATACCCCAAGCCAAACAGCAAGCTTCTCTAGTGAGGTTTGAATTGTTTGTTTTATGACCAGGTCTAGTCAGGCAGCCCTAGGGGGCCAAGAACACAGGTATACACCACAACACCCAATTTATTTACAGGATTCTAATTCACAGGACGCATTCCCAGAATGCTTTCTGGAGCGCACGCTTTGCCAAGTCAGCATCACTTACCTTGCGGTAGATCATGTGGCACATGGCGACCCTAAGCCTCATCCCGGCACACTGCACGTGATAGAAATACAAGTGATGCAATATGGCCAGGACAAGCGTGCACACCGACAGCACCGAGGCGTAGCCGTAGGCTGTGTGCAAAGCCACAGAGTTGTTGGGGTCATACTTTTCAAAATACTCAATAATTTTCCCTAAAAATATGGGCTGGACTACCCTGGTGCTTTCCTGAAAGAAAACAAAAACAAAAACATTCATTACAAATACAAACCACAAAAAAATAAAAATAAAAAATACAAACCACACCATTAAGGGACCACCACCCCACCCCACCCCACACCCCATTTTAGCAGCCATGACAGGCTAACACGTACTGGCCTGACCTTGCCCCTTCTGTCCTGGTCACTAGGAGGTGAGATGCCCTCCTTGTGGCAAGGAACCAATCAGAAGTTAGCTGGCAGGGCTATGCTTTACAGCTCTGGGTGTGCTTTACAGTGCACAGCAGTGACGTGCAGAGCATAGCCAGAGCATAGCAACCGCCCTGGGAGGGCCTATGGGCCATAACAACCAGTTGACCAATCAACACAGGGCAGGTCGTCCAAGCCTAGGAGCGCACCAATTCTGAGACTATTGCATACCCCTAGACACTCCCCTTACGCTGCCCTATAAGACCCCGTCTCATGGTTTCTAGGGGTCTTTCTCCAGCAATCCACCACGGTGGATGGACGAAAGGGCCCGAGCTAATGGGGTAAGCTCGTTAAACTGAAATAACAGACTCTTTGCTTTTGCACCAAAATGGGCCTCTTGGTGATTTGGGGGTTTCAGAATTTGGGCACAATAGGCAATTTTTCTCAACACAAGCTTTACATCTATACGTCCCTCACCCCTGACGTAAGGGAAAGAAAATTGCTTCTATCTATCATTATAAGAGCAAATCAGTATTCTAACCTGAACTCAAAATCACAAGCTCAAAGGCAATAACACAATAGTACACTGTGACTAGTTCCCAAGGATGCTCAATACATGCTAGAATCAGCTTTGAAAAAAAAAAATATCTGGCAGGCTGACAAATAAATCCTGGCTGAAAATGAATAAGAAAAAAAAACCATAGTGGCCAAAGAGGGAAAGGGCTTGTTATTTGCTTAAATACAGGCATGTCAGCTCTTGATCCACCCTGCTTCCTATGACCTCTCAATGTCCCGCCCAGCCTAACAGGAAGTGAAGGTGTGGTCCACTCACAAAAGGCCCACTCACGCCACCTCTTCCTGCTGTTCCAGCCTTAGCAGCTAAGATATTTGGGAAAACAGGACAAAAAGAGAACGCCCCAACCTTCTCAGCTCAGGCTCTGCCTGTCATTGCACCCCAGCCCTTCTACCGTGCCTCTAAAAAAGGTGCAGGGCTTGCAAGGTTCCCAGGGAGACGGGTGTCATGTGTCTCTACCCCCTAGACACTGAAGTGTGCCCGGGTGACTGCTACCCCCACTGAGTCAGCCTGGGCTAAAAACTAACAGCACCAGTGGTTTTCTACCAGTCTTAAAGCACTAGGATTTGACTATAAATCAAGATTAATAACCATCTGTTCTCTAAGACAAAAGTCAAAATCCTATACCAATGAGGTGAGAGGCTGGGGGGGGGGTAGTCACTTTCTGTCCAGCACGGAAGAAATGGAGCCCTCAGTGCACAACAAGTATTTTCCTGACTCACAGGCCACTGGCTCCCCTTAACCCACTTCCTCCCTGCAAATCTGCACAGTCCCCTCCCCCAGGAAAAAAAAAAAAAAAACCAAACACTCACTGCAAATCAAAGTCACCAAAAGTAAACACGTAGGCCCATGCCACTTCCTCCTCCTCAAGGATGAAAAGGCAGGCTGGGAACTCTGTCAAACACTTGACTTTGAACCACTTTCCCTTCTAAATAACATAGATATGCAAACAGCTGACTATTTTCCATCCTTGGGACCTTGGGAAGGGGGGGATCCTAATCCATACACAATAGGGAAAGAAAAAGAGAATAAGAGAAACAAAAACCTAAAACGTCTTCCCAACGAGCTGGTCCCCAGTCAGCACATTTACAGGGGATGCCTCAGTTTCTCAAATGACACCAAATCTCACACACTGTATACACACACACACACACACACACACACACACACACACACCCTTCCACAAGGTCATGGGAGTTCTGTGTATTACACAGAAGGACAGTCTACTCAATAAAAGCCTGACAGTCAAGGTCATCTCCAAGGCTCCTCATCACCTCCACCCCCAATCACATCTTTCAAGAAGCACAGAGAATCAATTCCAGAGTACCTGACAACATAATCTCAATGGCTGTGTAGCATTTACTACCATGAAACCCCAGGGTTTACCCTGAGAATCAAGGAGGCCAGGCTGTTCCTATCGGGGACCCAGGCCCTAGGACCAGCCAGGACAGCTGGGTCCACAGCGCACCAACCTGGGCCCTCCACTGAGAGCCCAGGAGCAACTCATACCGATTCAAATTTGCCTGATAATCTGAATGAAGTCATGGAGTTATTGTCGCCTCCTCCCAATTCTGACACTCACAAGGAGTGAGTTTGACAGGGAAAACAGTGAAAGACTTGGCAAACACAACAAAAGAAGTAACCAAGGAAAGCCAGGCCTCCCCGGTTGCTGAAGCACCTGTGTGTCCCAGCTGCGACATGACGTCTAACAATCCGTTTAAGTCTCTGGGCTTTTTCTTAATGGGTAACATATTTCCCTCCTCCTATAGACCAGCCCTCACCTAGGTAGAAACAATGAAGCAGCTACAAAAATACTTATGAGCAAGTTTTTAACTGAACAGAATTAAGCTTTCTGGGAACCGGGGAGGGAAGGTGATTCAGAAGTGGAGCTGGCCTGAACTACATGGAAGGGCCTGTCTGTCTTCAAAAACAGAAACCTACCTTCGTCTTAGACCCATTCTGTGCCCCACCAAAGACGCTCCCTGCGCTTTCCTGCCCTTTGTAGCCTCCGAATTCTCAACTGAAATCTCATGGAACTATCAGAGTGCAAGAGGAACCCTCAAAGCCCCAGCACCCAAAGTTCTACAGATGTTGTCCAACCTTCAGGCTTGGTCCACAAAGTTCAGTCAGAACCACACAGTCCAGTTTCCCAGTCCTCCCACCCCCACTAAAAAGAAAGGGAAAAAAATCACACATACAAAAAGCAGATGTTGTAAGTAAGTCAATGATTTTATGTTGGCACAGCTATGAGGCACAGCGGTAATAGGTCCTGTGTCCCAGCCTCCGAGCCCTTGAAGGCAGCTTTTCTCAGTGGAGATTTGGTATCGCCCTCCGAGTCTCGGCACTTGGGCATACTGCTTTGTTCTTACTGCAGAGCTTGATGGGACATTGTCCCCGCATGCTCTCTTAGGATCCAAAACACTTCCTGTCCAGCTTTGCAGACCCTCATCTGTGTGATGGAAACAGCATAGGAAACTGAAAACGCTGAGAAAATCAGGCTGCAGTGAGACCGCCAAGCAGCGATGAGTGAGCTGTGGGGGGAGCGGCGGCGGGGCCAGGAGACTTTAGAAAGGAGGGGCAAGGGACATGGGTTAAGTGGAGAAGACGGTGATGACGAACACAGAGGATCTGGGGACCGCATCGCCACCAAGGTCTCAGAGAAGATGACTGCACCGGGAGACCACAGAGGGGGTGCAAACATTCGTGGATGTGTGTGATCCACTTATGCCCAGATTCAGATTCCAGCGACAAAGTGTGTGGGGCCTGAGCTCTCCTACCAAAGGAGGTTCCTGAAGGCAGAAACCGTCCCAGGTGAACATCACCATTGTTGACTGAGTCTTAGGGCACATTGGACATGCTGTGTGGAAATTGCAAGGCCTTAGTTTGTTTCTATCAGGAATACTTCCATACAGTGGGCGTCAACACAAGAGTACACAGGAACCCAGAACCTACAAGTTTCAAAACCACAGAACAAAAGCTCTGGAGCTCAACACAGCAGGGGAGAATCAGGGCACAGAAACACTGTGTTCACCAAAGGGAAAGATGATTCATCACTGGCTTTTAAAGTGACCTCCAGCCATCAAGATGGCTCAGCCGGACATGCAAGCATGGTGACCCGAGTTTGATCCCTGGAACCCATGGGAGAAGGAGAGAACTGACTGCCAAACTTGTTCTCTGACCGACCTACACACACACACACACACACACACACACACACACTCATGCCCACACACTCACAAACACTGATAAATAAATATTTAAAAGGACTTAACTGAAATACAACCATCTCTTAAAGGAGTGTGGGAAGGCAGCAGAGAAGACAAGAGCAGCTTTCTTTAAAGATTATCTCTTTTTCTGGGCCAACAAAAAGCTCCTGAGTCCCAGTGGGGAATGCCAAAGGACCACTCACAGTCTGAAAACTAATTTAGAAGACAAGAAGTTAAGAAAGTTTCTTGAGTTTTCCACGCATACTACACCTTAGGGTAACTGGAAGGCTATCCAGGGGGGAAGCCTTCAGATTGGGGGAAGATTACAGACAGCAAAGGAGGTGGGAAAATAACTGCCACCATTTTGAAGCCATCTCCCCTTAACCATGAACATCTTCTAACAGTGCACTCGCGAGAGCGCACACACACACACACACACACACACACACCATACACACACCACACACACACCACACACACACACACACACACACGCACGCACGCACGCGCACACACACACCATACACGCACGCACACACCATACACGCACACACACCATACACACACACACACACGCACGCACGCACGCGCACACACACACCATACACGCACGCACACACCATACACGCACACACACCATACACACACACACACACGCACGCACGCACGCGCACACACACACCATACACGCACGCACACACCATACACGCACACACACCATACACACACACACACACGCACGCACGCACGCGCACACACACACCATACACGCACGCACACACCATACACGCACACACACCATACACACACACACACACGCACGCACGCACGCGCACACACACACCATACACGCACGCACACACCATACACGCACACACACCATACACACACACACACACGCACGCACGCACGCGCACACACACACCATACACACACACACACCACACACACACACACACAGCATACAGGCACACACACACCATACACGCACACACACCATACACACACACACACACACGCACGCACGCACACACACACCAT